TACACGTGGGTACTTCCCCACCCAGGTTAAATGTTAATTTTACCAAATACATGTATTAAAAATGGGAAAGGGGGCTGAGGTGGTGGCTCAGTGGTAGAGCACCTGCCTAGCATGTGCAAGGCACTGGGTTTGATTCTCAGCACTGCATATTAAAAAAATAAATAAGTAAAGGTCTATTGACAGCTAAAAAAAATTTAATAAAGGGGAAAAATAAAGTCAAACATCTGTATTTTTCATCTGAAATTTCTCCCCATATCGGGGTTAAGTTTACATAGCTCTAAGATCCTTGAAGAAGGCACATGACTCTTTAACCCCCTGTCACTCACTTAGCAGTCATGGTTGAGCCTGCTGTGAACTGGGCACAGTGATAACAAGTGGCAAACAGGAGGACAAGGAACCACTAAGCCACATCCCCAGCCCATTTTTCTGTTAGAGACTGGGTCTCACTGAGTTGCTTAGGGCCTCAGTAAATGGCTAAGGCTGGCTTTGAACTTGCGATCCTCCTGCCTCCACCTCCTAAACCACTACAATTACACGTGTGCTCCACTTTTATATTTTGAGACGGGGTCTTGATAAGTTGCCCAAACTGGACTCAAACTTGCGATCCTGCTGCCACAGCCTCCCAAGTCACTGGGATGACCGGCATGTGCCCTACCTGACGTGGCTTTGGTTGGGAACCTATCGTGAAGGCTGCAGTCCACACCGTTCCTCATGTTCTGCTCTCAAAGCCCTCTCGCTAATCTGATTTTTGAAGACATCTTCCCCTTGACCACAAAAGTACAGTGGCACTGCTCTCTAATACTGCAAAACCAAGACCCTGACAGATTTTAAACTGATGAAAACTCGACAAGACTGTTGTGGTATATTATCTTTTAGGATAGATGGAGGTAACATCCCGTGGTAAAAAACAAGAGTAAAAGAGTTCTGAGAACTGTGAAACTGTCATCCTTTTTTCTATATGAGTTAATCCAACAGATGAGTGGTTTTCAATCTTGGGCCCCTTCGGTGGGCTGTGAGCAACCCGGGCTTCCATTCCAGACAAGTAAGGAGTATCTCCAATTAGGTGTGCTTTCCCCAGCCAGGCTCTGCAGACCACCACATGTGCACGGTTTCCTTCTGTCACCATCCTCCCCATTTTACTGGTATGAAAAATGGAGTTGAGACTTGCCCCAGGTCTGACTGTTAAGAAGTGGCAGGACTAAGATATGAACTCAGAGGCTGGTAGCTCAGTGTGAGACACTGGGTTCGATTCTTGGCACCATGTATAAATAAATAAAGGCCCATTGACAACTAAAAAAATTTTTAAAATATATATGTGAGGGGCTGGGATTGTGGCTCAGCGGTAGAGCGCTTGCCTAGCATGGGCGGGACCCAGGTTCGATCCTCAGCACCACATAAAAATAAAGGCATTGTGTTGTGTCCATCTACATCTAAAAATATATATATATATATTAAAAAAATTATATATATATGAACCCAGGTAAGACATTCAGAAGGAGTTAGAATATAGGGACACTGGGGGGCTAAAACATTCCCAAAGGTAAAGTGACTCTAGGGGGAACAACTGCAATTGTGTCATAGCATGATGGGGACCAGGGTGTCTCCAGCTGTATTTGGACCACTGGGGGTAGCACTTTCTTTCTTCCTTCATCCCATTCCCCCCACCCCCTTCTTCCTTCTTCCCTCCCTCCTGTCTGTCAATCATCCTTCCTTCCTTTCCCGGATTTTGTTTTGCATAGGTATGTGACGACCCCCCCCCCCCATACTCACACATACTTTCTTTGTAATAGAACATTCCTATTCAGCCACCTTCTATGAGCAAACCCTCACCTGCACAGGGAAGCTATACAGATACACCAACCATGGTCCCTGCCCTGCAAAAGTTTTTCCTCCTCTTTCAGTGTTGTTACAGGAAGCAGCTGCCCCTGCTCCCAGGAATTATCTTTGCAGCTTGTAGGATCGCCTCTGCTGCTTGCAAGGAATGTGAGGTCCATGCTCTGAGAGGGACCCAGCATTCATGAAGATGCCCAACTGAATGGGCCCCTTTGACCTCCTTCCCCCAGACCTCATATCCATCTCGAGGGATTTGTTTGGGGGAATGGCTCCTGAGACCTGCCTGTCTGAAGGCTGCAGGCCCTGGAGTTCCTTGCCCCAGGTGTGTGCACTGAATGTACAGCAGATCATGTGGCCGAGACCCGCCTCCAGGAGTGGAGAACATAGAAGGAAAGCACATCTCTAGGAGGAAGCAGCTCGGAGGATCTTTTCTGTGCAGAGGAAAGTCAGGGAGCGGTGGTGTACAGAGCCATTAACGCAGGACCCTGGGCCAGGACAGCAGTCAGACACCTGTGACTGCCTCACTGGGCTCCAGGACTGGCGTTTGTCACTGCTGCAGCCGGTCAGGCAGACCAAGCCTCCGTTCTCCTGAAGGAGTAGGTGTCTGGGGCGAGGCGTTGTTGTTCCTGCCCCCCTCCAGCATCTGAACCAAGGCTAGCCTGGGCCTGGTTCTCAGCCCACCTCCCTTGGGGCACTTCTTGCCCCACTGCTGCTGGATTCTGTCCATCAGGTTCCCACGCTCCTCAGGACAGCCCGTACATCCAGGGTTGATGGTTTTGTGTGTCTCTGTCTCTCTCTCCTTCCAGGGGCAGGTGTGGATTAACGGCTTTAACCTTGGCCGCTATTGGCCAGCACAGGGCCCCCAGATGACCTTGTTCGTGCCACGGCACATCCTAACAACCTCGGCCCCAAACAACATCACGGTGCTGGAACTAGAGCGAGCGCCCTGCAGCGCCTGTGGCCCGGGACTGTGCACCGTGGAGCTGGTGGACACACCTGTTATCAACAGACCTGTGGCCACCAATTATTCCTTCTCAGAACCGCCTACTAAAGACTCATGGCAACACTATGAATGATGATGGTGACGCTTTGGGATTCTGGCCCCCCGCACAGACCTCGGACATTGTAATGCTGATATTCTCCGGAGAGTTGGTTTAGAAAATGAATTTAGGGGATGTGTTTTCACCTGAGGTCTCCTTGCAGCCATGCTATGTCCGTGCCCCACCCTCAGGGGCCACCTTGGATGTGTGAGGGAGGTGACAGCAGTGATACCCAGACAGATCTGCACAGTCGGAGTGGAAGTATTGGAAGTATTCCTGATTTTGATTTTAATGTTAATTAAGAATCATGTTGTCTTTTTGCTAAATAAATTTATAATGAAATATGATGAGCCTTTTTTTTTTTTTGGTTTCTGGTACTGGGAATTGAACCCAGGGGAACTTAACCATTGAGCCACATCCTCAGACTCTTTTTGTATTTTATTAGAGACATGGTGTCACTGAGTTGCTTAGGGCCTTGCTAAGTTGCTGAGGCTGGCTTTGAACTCACAATGGTCCTGTTTTTAATGTTGGGCAGGTATTAAGCTATGTGGTCTGACTTAAATCACAACTAGACTTGAGTGGGCTGAAGAAGCCACTTCACTAGCTTGAGGATCAAAGGAACAGAAGAGAGTCTTGGTTTGATTTAATGGACGGTTGCTTTTCCGATCCTTATTTGACTTGCTTGTGAATTTCTGTGATATCTACTAGGCAACCTGTAAGTACAGCTCCAAACAGTTATGCAAACAACCTAAGTGATCAACGGTTGCCTGGTGTACGCGGTATGGTGCTTCTGTACAGTAGACAGTATTTAGCTGTGAAAAGGGTGATGTAGCCAGGCGCGGTGGCTCACACCTGTAATCTAAGCAGCTTGGGAGATGGAGGCAGGAGGATCGTGAGTTCAAAGCCAGTCTCAGCAACTTAGTGAGGCGCTAAGCAACTCAGTGAGACCCTATCTCTAAATAAAATACTAAATAGAGCTGGGGATGTGGCTCAGTGGTCGAGTGCCCCTGAGTTTAATCCCTGGTACTTTAAAAAAAAAAAAAAAGAGTGATGCAGATCTATATTTATTTATATAAAAATATCTTTCATATTGTATCAAGTGATCTCATTCTGCTTACCACAGTCTTGTGTTCGTGCCGTGGACAGGCCTATACATGTGGGGGACACTGTTGTATTGTATGCCTGTCTGGACATGGGCAGTAGCTCTCAGTTATTATGTTTTCTTCCATGCATGCTTCTGAGCAGAGCATATGTTTAATTCACTTTCAGAAGATTGCTGAGGAATGTACCATCATCTTCCTGATTTCCCAGATCATACTGTTGTAAGTGGCAGAGACAGAGTTGGAATCTGGCTAGTCTAACCACATGTTGCCTGTGTAATCCCCACGTATTCTGCATTGGAAAGGTTTGGCATCACATCAATGAAATGTTGATATGATTATCTCAGGGCCATAGGCATTTGGGAGTGGTTCACTATATATTAGTGGTTCACTATATTTTCTCATCTATATTTGCTTTTTTCTTGTTGTTTTGTTTTTGTTTTTGGTACCAGAGATTGAACTCAGGGGCACTTAATCACTGAGCCACATCCCCAGCCCTTTTTTATATTTTATTTAGAGACAGGGTCTCGCTGAGTTGCTTAGGGCCTCTTCAAATTGCTGAGGCTGGCTTTAAATTCACAATCCTCCTGCCTCAGCCTCCCGAGCCACTGGGATTACAGGTGTGCGCCACCGCTCCTGGCTTGTTCGAAGTTCTTTACAGAGAACGTGGTTTTTGTAAAGGAGGGAGAAGGGAAGGATGTTTTGTGCTGGTCTACAACATTTTCATTGGCAGTGTGTTTTCCCTCTCTCATAGGCACAAATAAGAACTACCTGGGATTCAACAGAGAATTTTAAAACTCTGGGTGAGCCAGCTGCAGGAGGTATATATGGGTTGAGACCAACAGACTAGACCTTAATTTTTAAACTCAGCCTCTTTCTCTAGAGGTCAGCACCATTTGATGTTTGGATGTGGCCTACAAGGTGAAGGAGGAGCTCCCTGGACCCACAGCCTCATTACCCTTCCACTGTTAAATGACCGAAAACATAAAGTCATTCCCCAGGACTGGCCAAACACTGGTAAGTTTTGGAAAGAAATGTGAGGCTGTTCCTTTGAAAGCATATGTATTTAATAAATTGCACTTCCTCAGAGACCAGCACAGAGTCCCTAGACGGCGGGCAGTGGAGAGGAGTGACCTCACTGGATGGTGTACTTGCCCCATACTTGATCATCTGATCTTCAGGACCACACTGTAAGGTGGGTAGCAGCAAACCTGTTTTACAGATGTGAACATTGAAAACTTCAGCATTGGTTCCAAACCTCATCTATCTCCTTCCAAAGCCAGAGTATTTTCACTTGTTGCTGAGAGAATCTTATGGGGTTCCATCCCTTCCCCCTTCTAGAGGGCCATCCCATCCCTTGCCCAGAAGTTTCTGGAATCTTCAAGCATACATAGTACCACACTGGACTCCACTCAACCCATCCTCCTCCTCCTCCTCCTGCCTCTCATAGGTATTGCTTTTGCTATCTACAATGTCTTTTTTTTTTTTTTTGGTGCTGGGGATTGAACCCAGGGCTTTATGTATGCCTGGTCAGCACTCTACCAACTGAGCTATATCCCCAGCCCCTACCATGTCATTCTTAAAAGTAAGATGTGCCTTCCGTCATTCCTAATTTCTCTGAATAACCTTGTTTTGGATCTGTCTGTCCATGAATTAATGATTTAAAAGTTAATTCTATATATGAATGTTATCTCTGAAAATAAGGGCAACTGTATTACCTGCTATTTAGACTTCTTAGATTGAATCTATCATAAAGCAGACTTTAGTATTCCAGGTTTTCTGATCAGGCCTGTGCTAACCTAGCCAGACCATTGATGGTCTCTGAAGTTTACCACATTCTCCATCACCCTTCCAGTAAACCACTGTGATCTGGGTTTATATGCAGCCCACATTTATATGACCTGCAGAATATCCTGATTTAAACAGTTTTATTGATTGGGAGTGTACATGCCATAAAACTCATCTAGATTTAGGGACAATTTCATGAGTTTTACCAAATTTATGCAGCTGTGCTGCCATCACCAAATTAGAAGACTTCCTTCACCCCAGAAAGTTCTCTCCTGCCCATAATCAGTCAATGTTCACTCCCACCTCTACCGCTAGGCAATGTTTAGCCTGTTTTCTGACCCTGTAGGGATGCCTTCCTTAGAAATTTCTTAGCCAGGTATGGTGGTGCACACCTGTAATCCCAGTGGCTCAGGAGGCTGAGGCAAGAGGATCACAAATTCAAAGCCAGCCTCAGGAATTTAGTGAGATCCTGTCTCCAAATAAAATATAAAAACGATCTGGGGATATTGCTCAGTGGTTAAACACTCCTAAATTCAATTCCTAGTACCAAAAAAAAAAAAAGAAAGAAAAATTTCGGGGCTGGGGATGTGGCTCAAGCGGTAGCACACTCGCCTGGCATGCGTGCGGCCCGGGTTCAATCCTCAGCACCACATACAAACAAAGATGTTGTGTCTGCCGAAAACTAAAAAATAAATATTAAAAAATTAAAAAAGAAAAAATTCTTGTAACTGGGATCACACGGTATCATCTTCTTTGTCAGGCTTCTTTCCTTTATCATAAATGTGTTTGAGGTTTATCCATGGTGTAGCATGTACAGGAACTGCTCCTTTTCATTGCCATGCAATATTCCATATACAATGGAATATGCACCATGTTTTGTGTGCCTGATTGTCAACTGATAAGCATTTGAATTGTTTTCAGGTTTTGTTTTGTTTTGGTACCGAGGATTGAACTCAGGGGCACTTGGCCACTGAACCACATCCCCAGCCCTATTTTGTATTTTACTTAGAGACAGGGTCTCACTGAGTTGCTTAGCGCCTTGCTTTTGCTGAGGCTGGCTTTGAACTCGTGATCCTCCTGCCTCAGCCTCCCTAACCACTGGGATTACAGGCATGCACCACTGCACCTGGCTCGTTCCAGTTTTTAACTATTATGAATAATGCTGGTATAGATATTCTTGTTCAATTCTTTGTTCATACGTTTAACTTTTTAAGAACTCAAGCAAATTCAGGACATCTTTCTGAAGGCCAGTTTAGTGATGAGGAAGAGACACGGTTACCCTTAAAATTACCAGAGTTATGGCTCCTTCTGTCTTCTCTCCCTTCCCTTCTCTACCTCAGGCTATACAGTGTATTTTTCTTCCTCTGTCAATCTGTCCATCTTTGTTTCTTAGTAAATCCAGTTTATTCAGAATGAAAATCGTTGAACACTAATCTGAGGTTGGGTTTTTTTCATTGTTTTCCCCAACAAGCAATATGTCTTATGTCAAGTGACACAAATAGGAAATGATCTTGTGTGGTCTTTGTTTCTCCCCTTTATGAAAAAAAAAAAAAAAGTCATTTTCTGAAATCACTTTTAGTCAATGTGAAGGATCTATCTGTCTGTGGTTGAATACATGGCTAGTAGGGACCAGTGGCTCATGCAAAATCAGGTCACTGTCCAGGTGGTGGGAGCAAGGTGACTGACTTTAAGCCTGGCCCCTGCTCCTGGTCTGCCTACGCAACACCCCCTCAGCCACCCCTTGTCTTAAGGGCCTTTCAGTTGTCTGTAAATGCCCAGTGAGGGTTCTGAGCCAGTCCCGCTCCAGACAGTTGCCCTACCTGCATTCTCACATGTGCGAGAGCCTCCCATGAGCTGAAGTCCCCCAAAGCTCCCAAACCAGCTGCATTGTCTCCTAGTGTGAAACAAGATAGGCTTTGGGAACAGAAACCCGGGTTCATGTTCGTACTCACAACTGTCAGCCCAGTCACAGGAAAGTGATTCACTTATAAGTTTCAATTTCCTCTTTTTTTGGCGGGGAGGAGTACCGGAACTCAAGGGCACCCGACTACTGAGCCACATCCCCAGTGCTATTTTGTATTTTATTTAGAGACAGGGTCTCACTGAGTTGCTTAATGCCTTGCTTTTGCTGAGGCTCACTTTGAACTCCCGATCCTCCTGCCTCAGCCTCCCAAACTGCTGGGATTATAGGCGCATGCCACCTTGCATGGCTTCAGTTTCTGCTTAAGCGAATGCAGGCTGTTGAGTAGCCCAGTGCAAGAGGACTTGGCGTAGGATGTGTGAGGCCCCCGGGTTCGATCCCCAGCAAAACACACACAGACGTCATTATAAATGCACCTTGCACAGGACTTGCCGTGTAGCTGGTGCTTATTAAATGCTCCTTTGATTCTTTCTGTCATGTGTATCCACCAAAGCAGGGAAGCAGTATCTGGAGACCTGAGAGAGGAGGGTGGGGTGGAGAAATGACACCTCAGGACACCCCATCCTTTTCCCTATATTTGTGTTCTCTTCAATAACTTGGTGCTTCTCCTGACCAGCTTCTGTGCTCAGCTGAGGAGACGGGGTGAAAGAGACAGTCTGATGTGAAACAGGACGTGGACCAGAAGGGGAGGGGGAAGTTCTCCCATAGAAGGGGGGAAGGTGCATCTTCAAGACCTTGAGATTGCTGGTCAGGAGCATGAGCCTACAGAAAAGGCTGCAGCTCCAGGGACTGGCCTTCAAAGCCCTCGGTGTATTCTCTTTTAGTGCTTTGCTTCCTTAAAGCCTCTGTGCACATATTCTCAAGTGTGAGTGTCTTTCTGGTACCGCCATATTGAATTCCTTACCTGAGGGTATCTGCCATGATGGTGTGCTCTTTTGGTGGTTGTCTGCCACTGTGTAACAAACTGTGAGTTAGAAGTGGCAGAAACAGCTGTTTGTCATGCTGAGGATTCTGTGGATGAGGCCTATGGATGGCCCTACAGGGATAACTTGTGTTTTGTTCTGGGAAGTCGGTGGGGGGCGGGGGCTTTCTGGGCCTGGACTCATCTGGAAATTCCTTCTTGCTCTCATCTGTTGTCTGGGCTGGAATGATTTGAAGTTTGAGCTCAACTGGGACAGGCAACAGAACATGGCAGATGGTCTCTCCATGGGACTGGGACTTAGAGCATGGTAGCCAGGTTCTGAGGGCATGTTCCAGAAGGGAGCTTCCAGAAAATGAGCATTTCCAAGAGGAGTGAGAGGAAGCTGCATGGTCCTTAAAGGACCAGACTCAGAAGTCACCCCATGTCAGTTCTACTGTATTCTGTCAGAGCAGCCCCAGCATGCCCAGCTTCAGTGGGAGGGAACACAGCCTGGATGACAGGAGGGACAAAGAAATTGTGGCCACTTTTAAGGAAACATCACATGGAGCTCTGTTGGGCTACAGTCAGTCTTGCGTGTTTCTCAGCTCTTCATTAAAAAGTCTGAAGACCCAGTGAGCATGCATTGAGTGCTGTTCCTCCTTGGTCTAGGGCTCCTTGGCCCAAGCCCAATTCTTGGTCCACGTTAGTTCCTTCAGCCTATGTTTAATGAAGTGGATTCCTTTGAATCGTTTGCAGGTTGCCGGTCCCCCTGATGGTCTTGCTAGATATGAGTTCACAGGGAATTGTCACTCTGAGCACAGGCTGGAAATGCACTGTGCGGACAACACCAAGCCCCAGAATAAGAGGGTATAGAGGTGATGGATGCTTGGTCTGGTTTCTTATGTGTTGATGACATCTTTTTACTTAGATTTCTTTTTTTTTTTCCCCTTTGGTACTGGAGATTGAACCCAGGGGTACTTTACTGCTAAGCCACCTACCCAGTCTTTTTTTTTTTTTTGTCTGTGTGTGTGTGTGTGTGGTGCTGGGGATTGAACCCAGGGCCTGTGCATGGGAGGCAAGCACTCTACCAACTGAGCTGTATCCCCAGCCCCTTTACTTATATTTCTGAACAAGTGGTACAGTTTTTGTCCAATTTATTGCAGCTTTGATTTTTTTTTCTTTTTTTTTTTGGTACTGGGGATTGAACTCGGGGGCACTTGACCACTGAGCCACATCCCCAGCCCTTTTTTGTATTTTATTTAGGGACAGGGTCTCACTGAGTTGCTTAGCACCTCGCGGTTGCTGAGGCTGGCTTTGAACTTGCGATCCTCCTGCCTCAGCCTCCCCGAGCCACTGGGATTACAGGCATGCACCACCCGCGCCTGGATACAGCTTTGACTTAATTTTTACAAAGCAACATGATCCTTTTCTCCAGGTACCTTGGTTCTTGTGGATTTAAAATCATGAAGTGTCCCGAGGAGTGGCCCTGTAGAATTCCCAAGGTTTTTGGTCTCATCACTGTCCTGGAGTCCAGCTTCCCTCCTGCCTTAATTTGCTCTTTGACATTCAGCAAATTCCTCAGGAA